TTTTTTTTTTTTTTTTTTTTTTTTTTTTTTTTTTTTTATATATATATATATATATATATACACAGTATCGCCTACCGTATGAATCCCCTTTTTTAATATTTATATATTATCTATTTATATTTATATTTATTTATATTTATTTATTTATATTTATTTATTTATTTATTTTTATTTTTTTATTTATATAGGCACAAAAAGAACAGAAAGGGACAGAAACATATTTAGATTGGTTTCTTAAAAACGGAGGAGACGCGAGGGTTGTTGATCTAGACGGACAAAGATATATACAAGTATTTTATTTTTTTTTTTATTTTATTTTTTTATTTTATTTGTTTTTATTTATTTTGTTTGTTTGTTTTGTTTGTTTTGTTTGTTTGTTTGTTTTGTTTTTGTTTGTTTGTTTATTTTGTTTTTTTATTTTTTTGTTTTGTTTAGTGGTTGTTGATCTAGACGGACAAAGATATATACAAGTATTTTATTTTTTTTATTTTATTTTTTTTATTTATTTTTATTTATTTTTATTTATTTTTATTTATTTTATTTGTTTGTTTGTTTTGTTTGTTTTGTTTATTTATTTTGTTTTTTTATTTTTTTGTTTTGTTTAGTGGTAGTTGATCTAGACGGACAGATATATATACAAGTATTTTATTTTTTTTATTTTTTATTTTTTTATCTTTTATTTTATTTTTTGTTTATTTGTTTGTTTGTTTATTTATTTTGCTTGTTTGTTTGTTTGTTTATGTTGTTTATGTATTTTGTTTATTTATATTTTTTATTTTTTTATTTTATTTATTGATCTAGAGAGACAGCGACATACACAAGCAAATGTATAAATATATTTTTATTTATTTATTTATTTTTATTTATTTTTTTTTATTTTTTTAATTTATTTATATTTTTATTTGGGGTGTATATGCAGCTCTCTGTTGGTAATCAAGAAGAAGAGGGAGAGACAGAAAGAACAGAAGAGACAGAGACAGAAAAGGAGACAAACGGCGACACCGAAATAAATAAAAAAACAAATAAAAATACAGACAAAGACACAGAGTCTCC